TGTACACCTGGAAGCCCGGTACTTGTATCGCGCTGTCCGCGATTGAGTCACTCAGCCAGGTCTCCGTGAAGCACAAAGCAGCAGTGTGCAAAGTCAGAGTTGGTCTTGTTGACGATAAGAATTTTATCCATCTTGTTGACCAGGGAGCGGAGATTTTCTAGGTGGATAGATGGGAGTGGAGTCCATGTCCCTCTCTGGCGTAGCCTCACTGAGGCGCCTGCACACTTGCCATGGCGGCATTTCTTCCAGATCCCCTAAATTGCAGCTGCGCCTCTGCTCAGACTGTCCATACAGCATTCTTCGTTCGCAAAAATCAGAGAACGGTAGTTCGGTGTGAGTTGTCTGATATTTAACAGTTCTCTGGTAAAAGTAATCCAGGATGGGTTGCAAAAGACCAAGAAAACAAAAACAACAAACAGAAGAGAGCATGAGTAACCAAGTCTGCCATCGTCAACACCATCTTAGCCCACAGATGAACGTGAAAGTATCTCATAAAAATGAGCAAAGTATCTTTTTATAATGAAAACAGTTTCTTGTTAAAACAACATTTACACTGCCCGAGGCAGTTCTTGTGTGTGCTATGAAATACAATATAATCCTGCAGGCGACACTGGTTAGATGGGGTGGTGAATCTCAAGTTTTGTCCATTGATGATTGTGCTGATCATGAGTGATTTCTAGATCAGCTTTTATCAACTCTGCCTCAGTCTTTTTACAAATGATCAAGCCAAGCCAGCCATTCATCTGTTATCTTGGTATAGGTCAGATATTTAAAGTACCCCCCATAGATCAGTGAACTCATTGTATCAGAGAGTGAAAACTGAAGAGATTTAGCAGTTTATGTTTAAGCCTCATTTACCCATTACATAGCAATACTATATAAAAGAGATGAGGCAAATATTCAAATGTATTTACAGTCTGGCTGAGAGTCTGACAGTATGTCACTGTCTCTATTATCTCAATTGATGCAAAACATATCTAGCGGTTAATCTGTTGATCTACTGATATTTCCCTGTGATTAAATGTACAGATATATCAGTATGGTGTTGACTGTCTCTTGCTCTCTGTTTCTTGTCTCTGTCTTTCCTCCAGTTTGGTCGGACAGAAGTGATCGATAACACGTTGAACCCCGACTTCGTGAGGAAGTTTGTTCTTGATTTCTTCTTTGAAGAGAAACAGAATCTTCGCTTTGATGTGTAAGTTGGAAAATCACTGCCCTTTCCCTCTACAGCACAGCTGTCCCTTCCCTTTTATACCAGGGAATCACTTCGGCCAAGCCTGCTCTAGTTTGGCCTGCTGACTCGTACCCATCTAGATTTAGAAGCTGATTGCCTTAAAAACATTTTGACTGGATGACTTGTATATTTATTCAAACTGAATAAAACAACTGTAACAAAAAGTGTGTTACACATTTCTGCATCTCCTTGGTTTTACAGTTACTCTGGTTTATATTTTTACATCAGACTTTATAACAAGCTTATTTTTGGCACCAAGTAACATTCCTGACAGTTTGGTTCCAGCCCTTTGTAGAAATGTCTTTTGAGTAATAAATGGTCTTATACTTGTATAGCACTTTTCTATGCTTTACAGCACACTCAAAGCACTTTCACACTACTTAGCCATTCACCCATTCACACACCAGTGTTATCACCGGGAGCAACTGGGGGTTCAGTGTCTTGCTCAAGGACACTTTGACATGTTGACTGGACAAACCAGGAATTGAACCACTAATCCTCCACTTAGGAATCAACCTGCTCTACCTCCTAAGCCACTGCTTAGAAATATTGTGTTTGGTGATTTTTGTAACTTTGGTGAAGATCACATAATATTTCATAATCAATTTATTTTGCGACTGTATATACAGTCAGTGAGATACCCACATGCATATAACAGTACTCTATGAACACAACAGTTAAATATTAACCAAAATATAATTCTGCAAAGGAATTAATTAATCCCCATTGAAGACATTGCATACACTAGCACTGTTGCTAATTGTATTTGCTAGTAAAATACGCCTAAAAAAACTACATAAAACTATGCATGAGGGAAAAAAAACTCACAATAGGTCTATGTAAGTACAACAAATCTACTTAATATATTCCAGCACAGAACATGAGTAAAACAAACTGATGCCCGCAAGAAAAATACCAAGAAACACTAAACTATAACTATAAACAAACTGTATATAACAAGTGAGGATTTTACTGACACGCATCAAGTAAATTAGCTGTAATCACTTTTTATTAGAGAAAACTACAATTTACTGGTTACACTTGTGTACTGTTCTCACTATGCATTTTATACAGCTAGTATATTAACATAGTTGAATAGCAAGTCAAAATTTTCATGAGCCAGGCAGTGAGTGCCTTGCTCCTTTATTAACAACTCAAGATGCTACAAGTGAAAGTGTAACATACAAGCAGAAGAGAGCATCTCCTGATTAACATAGAAAAGTTATCACTTCACATGTAAATAACTCGTGAGGAATCTTGGGGTTTTATTTGATGGTGCTCTTAAGATGGACGAACAGATAAAATCTGTGGTCAAAGCCAGCTTTTTTTCATTTGAGACTTCTGGCTAAGGTTAAACAGTTTCTTTCTTTTAGCGATTTTGAAAAGGCAATTCATGCCTGTATTAGCTCTAGACTTGATTATTGTAATGCACTGTATAATGGCATTTCTCAAGTTTCATTGTCTCGGCTCCAATTGGTCCAAAATGCAGCAGCTCGTCTTTTAACTAATACACAGCGTCATGAGCATGTAACTCCAGTTCTTGCCTCAGTCTATTGGCTTCCTGTTCGTTTTAGGATTGATTTTAAATTGTTTGTCTATAAGGCTGTACATGGTCTATCACATATCTCTGAGCTTGTGCATTTTTATGCTCCAGAAAGCACATTTAGGTCTTCTATCCAGTTGTTCCTGGAAGCACCGAAGTCCAGACTGAAATATTGGGGAGACCGAGCTTTTTCAGTTCGGGCTCCTATACTGTGGAATGGTTTGCCACAGGATATTAGATCTGCTCCAAACCTGACTGTTTTTAGATCACTTCTCAAAATGCATTTGTATTCACTGGTTTTTAACAATTTTACTGATTGATGTATAGGTTTTCGCTGTTATTTTATTGTGTAGCTGTGTTTTATCTGGTTTTTATTTATTTTTACTATTTTTGTTTTACTGTAAAGCACCTTGTAACGTAGGTTTAGAACAGTGCTATATAAATAAATTTTGCTTGCGTCAGGGTTGCGTCAGGAAGGATATCCGGTATAAAACACGTGCCAAATGTGAACATGTGAGTTGTCAGTGTGACGATTTGCTGTGGCGACCCCTAAAAAAACCCATGTTCTCCATGGTGCAGAGCCGTGCTTCCAAATCGGTGAGCCTCGCCTCCAATGCTGCTAGCATCTGATATTTATTACAGGTACTATTATTAGTAAAGGAGGCAGAGGAATAACTGAACATGTGAGACTCTGAGCAAGAGAAAGGAGAGGAAGAGGGGGAAGCCACAGCTCTCAGCTAAGCTACTATCTTAGCTGGGCTTCTAAGCTATCTGACAGAAAGTAGCAAGTTCAATTTGGAGATTAGCAAGAAATTCTGTAACACAGGTGCTAAGTAGTGCAGGTGTATGTTGTGACTCAAGAAAACAGCTGATGTAAACCTACAAATTAGTGAGCTTAATCCTTAAATAATCTGGTAGCAAGCACAACACAGTGCAGGCACAGGAAACAGGAAGTAAATACGATTACCGCAGGCACAGGAAACAGGAAGTAAATACGATTACCGCAGGCACAGGAAACAGCAGGAACCAACCAACAACATAGGACTAGGAAAGGCTTATTTGAAATGCACCAATTCAAATTAAACCACACAAAAAACATAGGATAAAGAGGTTATATAACATTTTCAGCCATTTAGGGGTAGGGGTGTGACCTCTTGATGCAGCAGCCCTACTTGTCACAATTATGCCTTAATCTGTCATTAAGAGCATGCTGGTAAATAGACTCTATAGAGAACAGGTGCTTGGTGATATTCTATTTTTGTCACATTGTTAACAATTCCCATGAAAAGACACAAATCACCAGTGAACTGATTCTAGAAAGTATTGTATGTGTATCCAAAGCCTGATACGTCTTCTGCCTTTGTACCATAGACCTCCACTGTTGTCCAAAAACTAGTGAAAACACAGCTCTGTGAACACATTGTTACATTAGACTTGAGTACACACACTGTATTGTGTATGAAGTAGCTGCAATTACTCAGTTTGTCACCAATCTCACATTTTCAATTAAGATAATTCCACAGTGGATTAATTCTATAGTGTTCCCAGGGATATTAACATTGACTGAGGAAAATGAGTTCAGAAATCCAAAGATCAACTGCACTTTTATTCTGGCTGCGTAAGAGTTTTTCATGGCGCTGTGTGTAGAGTTTGAAGCCTCCTCCCCCTGGGATAGCAGCTGCCCTGCTTTGTGAGGAGTCCTAATCTCCTGACAAAGTAAATCATTAATTCTGAATAATTAAGTAGTTCAAAATATAACACACACACACACACACACACACGCTCTCCCTTTTTCAAAAGTATCATGCATCACTGGTTTTGGTAGCTAGATGAAACCTAAATCTCTGTCCTTCAAATGTTGTCACAAATCTTCCACTGAATGCATGCTTTGAGTAATATTTTAATTTCAGCAAGGAAGGAAGATTAAATTAATTGTTTACTGGCACTTTATGCACATTTTCTGAAAACATTTGATGCGTATGTAATCAAGACCAAAGACTTAAAGACTCAAAGTGTTTATTGGCATGTGCACAGTGAGGAAATGTGTTTCCCTGTATAATGAAATGAAATGGCGGTGAAGTCTTGGTGATCCCCTTTGCAGTCTTTACCACTCTCTGCAGGCGCTTGTGGTCTGTGGCAGTAGTGCTGCCATACCAGACGGCGATGCAGCTGGTTAAGATGCTTTCGACGTTGTAACTGTAGAAGTTGCTGAGGATCCTACTGTAGGTGACATGCCAAACCTCCTCAGGAAGTAATGAATATTGTCCCTGAATTACTAACAGTGCTCCAACCAGGAGGGAAGATAGTAACAGTTCATATCTGATGCTGAGGATGGATAAATTAATCATTACAATACAAAGTGTTTTTCCTCGATAAAAGCTTTTTTTTTTTTAAACAATGTATTTTTGCACAACAAATGTTTGAATGATAGATTAAGTAATACAAAATAATGCTGGTATTCAACATTAAGCTTTCAAAAATGGCATAATGGAATATAAAAAATAAAGACAAGAGTGGTGTTCAGCTGTCAGGCATTTCTTAAGGATATAAATTAGAGGAGAACTTAACATAAGCGCACAAAGTCTAATTGACTGCATCATTGGAAAGCACTGTAGCCTGTCCAGAATCTAGCAGAAGAAGACAATGATCGCAAAAGAATAATCAAGACAAAGTGCTCAGTTCTTCCAGATGCACTCTGGAAAATGAAAGAAAAACTCAAAATGTTGATGTTTCTCTGGCTGTGGCAGTCTTTACTTTAGTTTGGCTGTCCTGGTTACTTGTGCAGTTTTACATACAGTATTGCTGTCAACACAGTTCAATACTGTTAACACAGTTTTCCACCTTATGCAGTCACTCACATTACTTACATTACAGTTACACATTACTACCATACAGTAAGTAATTCTGGCGCAAGCACCTAGATTCATTTAAAATATTCTTTAGCAGCCTGAAACTATACTGGACACAGACCACCAAAATATCACTCCAGAGAATGATACTTTGAGGGTAAAATAATTAAACTACAATGAATAGTAGCATCTTTATTAGGATCTAGTGTCTCTGTTAAGCCCTTTTTGAATTAACTGGAAAAAATTCCAACAAGGGTAAATAGTCATGTATTATAACATTAATAAATACCTTAATGCAAATTAATCAAACATAACAGTAATTATTAACAGTTCAACAGTTAATGGTGGTTCAAGGTCAAGGTCAACGTGTTTATTTGTCATATGCACAGTTAGGAAACGTGTTTCCCTGTACAATGAAATTCTTACTTTGCCATCCACATGAATGCCACAAAATACAAATGAAATATAAAGTAGATGAATAAGTAACACAAAATCTAAGGCACTTTAAGCAGCAAATGCAGAGATATAATAAAAATATATAACAATATATAAAGAGAATGTATTCTACA